TTATAAGGCTTCAAAGCAATACAATAGGAAACTATGATTACCATAATATATCCCATTATATTCAGAATAGCTGCCCCTACCATCTGACAGCATAAAATCTAACAAAACAAGACAGAACAAAGCCAGACCTAATAAAATTGTATAAACAATGCAAGAGTTCAAGACAAGACAATAAAAAATTAACAGTAGTTTCCACCTTTCTCTCCCAGGTGTTTCCTGCCCTTTTCTCTTGCATTAACTATATTTCCTTTAGAATCCCATTTACTCCTTCTATTTCTTAGGCTAGGGTTCACACATAGGTGTTCGAACTGTTTCACCCATGAACATGATCTCCAGTTGCATCCATTTGCCTTCAGGAGCCTTTAGATTATTCTACTTTATAGCTGGGTGGTTTTCTACTGCATGAAAATACCATATCTTTCTTATGCATTCTGCAACTGATGGGAGAATCACTCTTGCTTTATTTTATTTTAATTTTTTTTGTTTTTTGTTTTCTGTCACATGGAAGAATTGTTTGGACTCCTTGATTTTTAGTCTATGAATTTCCTTTTCAGTTAAAGGTGTTTCTTGTGTACAGTATATGGATAGATATTGTTTCTTGACCCACTCTTTTGTGTTTCTTTTTATTGTTCACCTGAGGCCATCTACATTAATGGTTACACCTGGCATACATTGGCTTGTGTCTGCCCTCCTGCCCTCCTGTTGTTGGCCCTCCACTTTTCTCCTTCATTCAATTGCGTGTCTTGTTTGGTGATCTTCTTCTTCCGCTGTTCCTGGAACCATGGTCAGCTTTATCTCTCTCTAGAATATCCTTTAGCACTCTCTGTGGGCTGGTTTGGTAGTCATGAATTCCTTCAGTTGTTCTTTATCATGGAAGTATATTATTTTTTCATCAATTTAGAAAGACAGTTTTGCAGGTTAGATCAATCTGGGTTGGAAGTTGTTTTCCTTCAGGGTTTGAAATACTTCATTACAGACTCTTCTTGACTTGATGGTTTGTGTTGATAAGTCTGCTGTGATTCTGATTGGTTTTCCTTTATAGGTGATCTGTCTGTTTTCTCTAACAGTTTTTAATATTCTATTCTTGTGCTGAATTTCTGGGATCTTGATTATTGTATGTCTGAGTTTAGGTTTACTTTGGTTATGACTACTTGAAGTCCTATATGCCTCATTTATCTGCATACCAGATCCATTTTCCACGTTTGAGAAGTTTTCTTCTATTACTTCCATGTATATCCTTTTAATTTCATTTGTGTTGACTCGTGCTTCATCACCTATACCTTTCACTCTTAAGTTATGCTTCTTTGCATTATCTTGGAGCCATTGGGTTATTTTTTCCTGATTCTGTATTATTTTTAAGAGCTCTTTCCTTCAGGATCACTAACTGAAATTCTGTCTTCAAGATTTGAAAGTCTCTTTCAAGTGAGTTTGCCAGCTTTTGGTTTAATTTTTAATTTCCTGCATCTCTCTTTGAATCTGTTTCATATATTGTAATTCTTTTCTACATTCATTCAAGGTCTCCATCATTTTCCTATGCTCCTCTTTATTGTCTCTGTCTTCTTTAAGCCTGATGAACAATTCTTTCAGTATGTTTGTGATTTCTTCTTTTACTTGAGACATTATTTCCTATTTGACTGCTTTTACAATCTCATGGAGCTATTCCTTACTTTAGTTGCTATCCTCTCAGAGATTTCAGCTGTGTGACTTCTGTTTTCTTCCATGACTGTATCTCCCAGATTTATTCTGTGTGGGCTAAGAGGTCTCAGTTTGCCTTTTGCTCCTTCATCTTGACATTTTCCTGGGTTCCTCTAAACAAGCTGGTTGTGCGGCCCCAGGTACTTACATGTTGGCTGCCCCTAAGCAGTGTAGGGGGATGAGACAGGCACCTGGGTTCCTCTAATTCCATTTACAGGAAGATAACAGGGCATGGGGCAAGCTTCTCTAGACCTATGAAGCTATACTATGGCTTTGAAGATGACCAGGGGTGCATGGAGATGCGGCTGCTTCTCTCAGCCTGTGTGTCTACACTGGGACTCCCACGATGGTGGTAGACACATAGGAGTGTGTTTGTCTGATTCTTCTAGTGGATGATGGCTGTTGGAGGATACCAAGGGCCTCTAATGGTGGCCTATGGATACACAGGGCTTACCTGGCTGAGTGTCCCTGGGCCTGCTGACTGCCTGCAGGAAGGAGCCTTCTAGTGGAACTCCCCGAGGGTGAAGGCAGATCTGCTAATTTTCTCTGCCCATGCTGGTCACCTATAGAATGTGGCCTTTTGGTGGCGGTGCACAGGAGGTAGAGTTAGATCTGTCTCCCTCCACTCACACTGAGCTCACGAAAGAAGGGGCCTTCCGCTGGCTGTGCTCAGCAGGCTGAGGCCAGTCTCCTGGTTCTCTCAGCCCCAGCTGGGTGCACAGGGGAAAGGGCCTCCTGGTGGCAGCGCCTGGTAGGCAGAGGATGATCTGTCCTGCTTTAAATTGTGGGTGTTGGATATGGTGTCTCAACAACGAGCACGGTGACTAGGACAAACATAAAAGATGTTCTTTGCCTCTTGGCGCAGGTAAGATGAACAATAGCAGAAATCCCTGCTTTCAAAGTTTAGATAAGTTGAGGAAAGCCATTTCTCAAATGGGAAAGTTTTCTTACAAGAGAGCCACATCAGATATTTGAAGAAAAATTAGAGAATAAGGAAGAGAAATAATCCAACAGATATTTGTAAAGGGGTTAGTTTCAAGCCACTGGATTTCAAGACTTGTTGACTCCACACATGTCCATCAGGACCCTCTTTCCAAGGTGTTACTTAGGACAGGATTCTTAATTGCAAAAAATGGTGAGAAGTGCACTGCAAAGCTATGAATGTGAAATTTATGAGTTCTTCAACATGTACCAGAGATAAAGAAATCTAAAGAATTTCACTGTTATTTTCCAGTCACACTTTTTTTCGGGTTAACATTCATTCCTTTTATCTGTACCAAATACGTTTCTAGCTTTTTTGCTAACATATTAGAATATATGCTTCCGTGTCTCCTAAAAAAAATTCCTAACTTCCAAGTACTTACTGCCTGGTAGAATTAGGTAAATGCCTTGTCAAACATCTTCAAGTTTATCAAGGAAAGCTGTTGTGCGAAAAACATAATTTTAAAACTTTTCACACAGAAATTGCTAAAATTATCTCCCTCTTGTCTGAGTCCACAGTGGAATGATTGGTGTTTTAAAAGCAAAACGTGTTCAGCTGTCACCAAAATGGTGCAATGTAATCTTCCTGCTTTCAGAAAAATGTGCAATATAAGGTTCATTTAAAATATACTATGGCCATAATGGGGAACATTTCTTTACATCTAAATTTTTCAAGAGAAATAACATTTTGAACAAGTCTAGGATAATCCAACAGGTATTTTAAAGGAGTTATTTTCATGCAATTATATTTCAATAATGTACATAAATTTTTAAATGGCCACCTTTGGATTATGAATTTACATAATTAATACTTATCAGCCATTTTTGGGAGAAGGGTTACTACTGACTGAAACCATAGCCTTAATACTGAGCCACCTCCCAGCTTTTTAAAAGTTTTTTTTACTTTGAATCATTGCTGAGTTATCAAGGCTGAACTTGAATTTGCAATCCTCCTGCCTCAGTCATTCAGAGCACTGAGATTACAGGCATGCACCACCATAAGCAGCCATTTTATATACCTACCTGCTGATGCCAATGGCCAGTGTTAGGGGAAGAGTCATCTAGTACATGAACATAATGATTGGTATCATGAACCCCGAGTGCCTAGGTTTATCATGGCATACAATGATTTATTAAATATGGTAAATTTTTAGAAACTGCCTCAGCTCCGGTATTACCAGAGGACAGATGAGAAACATACAAGAATAAAATTAGAATTAAAAGTCATAATGTGTCTTTATTTTCTTGCCCCAAATAATATTCCTGTACTCCACATAACCAAACAGTCAATAATGCTCATATAACCTGAATCACTTCATGTGGTCATTTTCTATTGAGACATTCCTATGTTCTGAGGACCCTGAGTGGTTGTCTTTTGAACTGGAGCTTTGTATATGAAGGTTTGCTGTTCCTTCCAAGCAATGTGCTCTCTCCTGGAGTATTAAATTGTATCTTAAATTGCTAAATGAACAGCTTCCTGTACTTTTCTTTATGTTAGGTCTAAGGCAACAAGTGTTTTTTTTTTTTTCAAAGACCATCAGTGTTATTAAAGCTCTTTGAGGGATAATAGAATTATGCTGTCTCTTGGAGAACATGAGTCACATTCATAAAAAAATAAGAGGCTTCATGTATAGGGAGTTTCTTTCACTAGGGAGGTAAGCTTTGTCACAGCTCTATGTGGCTGTCAGTGAGACACTGGAAACTCAGGTGGAAATTCCTTAATCGGGGTTACCTGGGAGTCTGTTTTTCACAGTTCTGCCATTGTTATTTTGCACATTTTTTTTCAAGTGATTGATCCACTGGTGTATTAAATCTGAGTCTTATCCAAAGATAGTAGACTAGATTATGTTATAATAGCAATGCCTTAAATTCATGAAGTATGATCTTTTTACAGTGAAATATGTATTGTCCTCAAAGTTGTCTGCTCCACTTCAGATACATTTATCCCACCATTTTTGCCACTTTCTGAAGCTATTCTGAAAGGCTTCTTTCATGAGTGTCTTTCTGGTATGATAAACGATACAGTGAATGCTGCTTCTCATTGCTATCTAACAGGAAACCAAGCTCGTAAAATCATTACTTTCTGTCTTCATCTACTGTATTCACCAGATCTGGAACCATCCCCAAAGACAAAATGTCCATACTGCATCAATGTATTCAGGTGGGGGTTTTTAGAAGGGCTATGGAGGCTTACCGATAACTTGCTGTTACAGGTGGGGTCCAGTCAGAAGGACACTGTGGGAATTGACTGAATGGGTTTGCCTCCCTTTCAGGTTCCTTCTTGACAAATTCTGTCTCTTTCCCCCTCACCATGCCACAAGCAGCTGTCCACTATGTGCCTCTGTCACAAAGCCCTGCCTGCCTTGGATCCAGTGGAATATGGATTGAAACATCTGCAAATCTGCAAACTGTGAGTCAAAATAAACTTTTAATCCTTTAATTTGCAGATTATGGATATTGTATCTTTCTCAGTGATAAAGAAAGTGACTGAGACATCTCATATCTAGATCAGGGATTTTCAACTTTGGTACTATTGACATTTCAGATCAGGGAATTTCAGACTGTAGAGGACTGCCCTCTCAATCATAGGTTTCTTAGTGCCTACCTACCACAATCGAGTGATGTGACCTTGTAGTGTTGGCAATTAAGAGAAAGAGCCAGATATTACCAAGTGTTCCTTAATAGGTTTGTGTGTACATAGGCAGAGTAGGGACAAGACTGGCTCCTTTAGAAAACTAATGATCTAGATTTTTTTACTTTCCAAACATTTCTATGTCACATTGGATTCTCACATCAGAGCTATGAGGGCAAGTTTTGTTATCTCCACTGAACAGGGAAAGAATTATAGATGCAAAGAGCTTAGGTCCTTAGCTGCGTTCCAGTACTGTCTTCATTTGTGCTTGAGGCGTAATATCTGCTTCGTATGTAAGTTTACTAGTGGAATGCTAGGTTAATACACTTTATAATGTAGCTGAAATATAAGCCTTACAAAGGTAGAAAGAAAAACAGTAAAGTGGCTGTCCCTACGTTGCTGTAATTTTCCTTTTGTTCAAGATGACATTCATACTACACTTCTTCCAGATGCCACACAGAAAAGAAACATTACATGTTAATTGTTGGTCATGTAGCATGTCCCACAGTAAAGTAGCTTGTTTAATTGCTTTTATTGTTTTGAAGAAGTTTAAAAGCACAAAGAAGATATAAAAATAAAGTGTCTTTAGCATTTAGAATTATTATTTATAATTTATAATTTTATTTCAAATTTTTGAATTAAAGATACAAAGTAATGCATCACATAAAAGTTGCTTTCTCCTATACCCATTCTTTCTTCAGTGTTACCTTCTTTCTTTCTTTTTTTTTTTTTTTTTTTGTCTTTTTCGTTTTTATCGGTACCAGGGATCAAACTCACGACCGCCTGCTTGCGAGGCAGGTGCTTATGCCACTGAGTTAAATCCTTAGCCCCTGGTGTTACTTTCTATCACAAATTTGATGCACATGTTTTACACTACTATATAAATACAGGATCTCTTTTTAAATACGTTTATACAAATACTAATCCATTAAACATTTTTCTTATTTCTAAAAAATGGTTCCTTTTTATTTATAGTGGGGAAAGGTGTTACATACTAAACTTATTTAACAGCTTTCTATAAAGTTAACATTATGGTTGTATAATTTATCCACCTTCCTACGTATTTACCTATCTGATATATTTTCAGTTTCATATTGAAATGCATAGATTTGTTTATTTATGGGCATTCCATGCAATCCTAATTTTTCAGTATTTTAAATAATATTGCAGTGTATATATGTGGATATATCTCATAAAACATGTGTAGTATGTTTGCAAAGAAACATTTGAGTTGTACTTGAAAAATGAGAAACATTGCAATTTAATTAAAAAATTAAATTTTTAATTAAAAAATTAAAATAACAACCATTTCCATGAATCCCCCTCAAAATGATACCCTATCTTTGAACATATCCATCATTCTTGTCATTTTCTGAAATAGTTCTGTAAGTCTTTTTTCTTGTTTTAAATTGTACTGTTGTTGTATCTCAATGTCCTGAGCTGATTCAGAATGTTTAGCTTTCACGGTCATTTTGGCTATTGGGAAGAACTGGATGTTGTACAGTGCTGACTCTGGCTAATAAAGAGGAGAAGGATGCAGTGCAATACTTTTATGAGTCTGCCTTTTCCTTGGATAGTACTTGGCAGTAGCAATTATTATATTTGTATTTTTTATGATAACTGGTAAAGACACTCATGAAATAGCATTTCAGAACTGCTTCAGAATGTGGGAAAAATGAAACAGTAAATGTCTTTGAATCCAAGGGTATTAATGATAATGTAACTTTAACTGTAATAATGAAATGAAATTAAACGTTCATTTTATTTTTCTATCACACTTATGTCACATCCGTCTCATTTATATCACACTTATTACATGAACAGAGACTTTAATGTAAACAATAATTGGAGCAAGAATAGGAGCCAGCAAAAAAATAAAGGATATATGTTTCAGAAAGACTGAGGGAAGTATATTGCAAAAATTACAAAATGTGCAAGGAGGGGAAAATAAGTTGCCAAATCTTTGAAAATAAACTGATGTTTGAACTGCACTATATACAAGGAATTTCTGACTTTACAAGGTGATCAGATTATTGAAACAAAAGTATCAGTATAATCTACTGAGTTCATAGCAGGAATGCAAAGCTGGTTCTATATTTGCAAGAGTCAATTTTATCTGCCATATTGATAATCAAAGGAGGAAAAAACACGTTACTGCTACAACTGATGCAGAAGAAGCATAGAACACTTAACACACTGTAAGAAAAATTCTCAGTAAACACTAAATAGAAGAGTTCTCCTCCTGATAAGGTGACTGCATCTCATGTAATGATGAAAGACAAGGATTTCCTTTTAAAATTGGGAGCAAGCAGCCATATCTTTGTCCCTCTTTACAAGTCCTACATGATTAGTTAACTATGTCCTAGAAATTTTAGACAGTTAAATGAAGGAGAGAAGAGAGAGAGAGAGGAGGAGGAAGAGGAAGAAGAGGAGAAGAAGAGTAGTAGTAGGGGATGAAGGGAAAAGAGAACAGAAGAGAAGAGGAGGGAAGCCAAAGAAGGGGAAGAGTAGGGAAGTAGATAGGAAAAAGGATGCGGGGAGAGAGGAGGAGATGAGGGAGAGAAAATAATTGCGAAAGGAAACCAAGGTGTCTTTATTTGCAGTTGATGTGATTTTCTTTGTAAAAAATCCCAAAACCTTCAAAACACTAAAAAATTTTAAAGATAAGCTCAATAAGTTTACATAATATAATTTTTAACACATGAAGTTAAATTTTATTTTTTACACTAGTTGTATATGGATAATGGAATTTTTAAAAACAGCACTTAAAAACAGGCAACGTAAGACATTCTTCGGTGTTTATCTAACACAATATATACTTGTGCAGGCTCTGCACTCTGACCACTGCAAAATGCTGATGAATTATAGGAAAGAAGATCTAATCAAATGGAAAGGTATACCTTGATTATAGGCTAAAAGACTCAGTATTGTATGGAGAAGGATGCCCAATTCTAATCAAGCTCTCAGTGTATTTTATAAAAATAATGACAAAATATTTCTAAAGTTTATATAACCATGCAGTGGAACTAGAAGAGTTAAAAGAGTTTCAAAGATGACAGAAGAATTATACTGACCTGTTTTAAGATTTAACATAAGGTCTAACAGTTTAAAATTCTTAATAGATCTGGTGAACATGTTAATCAATGGTAAAGACTGAAAAGTGAGAAAATAGACCCACACAAACATGACTATTTGAACTTCAACAAAAGTATAAAAAATATTCAGTGACGAAGTGTTTTTAAAAGAAGTGATATTGAATCATTAGACTCTCTGAAGAAATTTAACATTTTTTTCTTCCAGAAAAATTTAGTGAATAATTCACTTAGATTAAAATTCCTTGTTCCTATTGTTAAGAAATATTTTCTCTTTATGTTTTTCTAAGTTCATCCTATTCTTTAACAATGAAATAATTTTTTAAAAAGAACTTTCATTGTTTTATACCTCTATCTTTTCATTCTCTATAGCTTCTGATAAAAGATCAGCTTTTATTCAAATTATTGTTTCCCTTTATGAAAAGTGACTTTTTTTCTCTAGCTCAATTCATGGTTTTCTCTTTGATATGCTATAACCTAGCATGCACCTAAGAATGCTTTTCTTCTTAGTTATGTTTCTTAGTTATGTTTCTAATTATACTTATTCTTGTATGTGTAAATTTGGGCTATATTTGAATATTGTAATAATCTTTAATTGAATTATTCTTTCTGTAAGCTGAAAGCATAACAATGAAGTTGAACCTTCAGAAAATAGTAATTTAGACTGAAAATTATATATAACCATGAAAATGTGATATAATTTTTCTTTTCTTTTAATTTTAAAAATACTTAGTATATATATTTATATATAATATACATTGTAATATGTTATATATGATATATAATATAATGTGTACTATAACTTATGCATGGTAAATGGTCTTAGATTCTTTTTAAGTGTAAATATTTGGGTAAAGTGATACAATGTTTGCTCCATGTAATTGTAAAATTTGAAGTGTTATATTTCAGTTCTAGAGCAATAATTAAAAATAATGATTAGTGACAAAAATAACCAGTGTGTAAGTTGAAATAAATTCTGAAATGAGAATCAAACAAAAAGATAAAAGGTGGAAAAATTGTACTGAGGATTGCTATTTAATATGTTTCAATACATAATGTAGATTAAAGAATGGATACATAGGTAGGTTGTGATAAAATATGGTAAATTTTATTTTATTTTTCTGATAGTTAAACACATGCCTAGAATGTCTCAAGTTTATTCTTCTTTATGGCAGTGGAGCACTTCATTGTATATAAAAACCACATTTTCTTTAGCCATTCATCTGCTGATGAACACCTGGGCTGTGTCCAAGTTAGCTTTTACAAATCATGTTGCTATAAACATAGGCACACATATGTGGGTGTGATGTGATGCTTTTAGGTTCTTTTGAAAAGACTCGTAAGGGAAAATAGCTGTGTCAATTGCAATCTCTGGTTTTAAATTATAAATGAACTGTGGATATTCTTTGTCAACTTAAAGATTTTTGCCTTTAATCTTTCAGTAAATTTAAATCCATATTTCTGATGTTAAGATAATCTTGTACTTTTAAACAATATTCTTCATGGTAATAATGTAATCTTTAATAGTGTAAAAACTTCAAATTTTTTGATGATTTATTTAACTGTTTGTGTCTATGTCATAAAGAGATTAGTGTACTATTCTTTTAAAAGATCTTGCTCAATTTAGGTGTTAAAAGTTATCCTGGTACAATGTAAAGAAATTTCATTTCTACTATTGCTTTTGCTTCTTTGAAATAACTTGTATGATAGATCATTTCCTTCCTGTCATTCCTATTTTATCTTTATTAGAATATTTTTCTGTATTTTACAGTTTATATTTTCTTTTTCACTATTATAGTATTTTAAAGTAATATTCTCTCATGATTAAGAAAGTGTCTTTGCATTTTAATTTATGTATCCTTTATTGTTCCAAATGGTTGTCTAAGGTTGGTCTATTGTTTTTATCTCCTATATCTATTGGTTGAGTTTATTATTTACTAATATTGTTTATTTTCGGTTTTTAAATCTTTATTTTTTGCCTGTACCAGTTGGTCCATTTATCTTATTAATTTTCCCAAAGACACATCTTTTTTATTTTGATCTCAGTTATTGCTTATTTCTTATTTAATTATAAACATTATAACAGAGTAATTAATTGATTAATTCATTTATGATCTTATCATTATTTTTTCCTACTTTTTATATTCTTTACTTATCAAGCTTTTGAGTTGATGTCTAATTCATTTATTTTCAATCATAACTTTTATTTAATATTTTATAGCTAAATGATACTTTTAAAATATTTTTATAATTCCCATTGTAATTTTTTCTTTAACTCAGGTTATTTAGCTCAAAGTCTTTTCACTGATTTGCCCTGTTAACTTTTAATTTAATATCATTATTGTCAATGAATATGGCCTTTATGGCACTGTTTGAAATTCCTGAGACTTGCTTGCTGACTGCGTTAAAAACATTTTTGTATATTTGAATACAGCATGTATTTATTTTTCAAAACAGAATTCTGCAAATTGTCTACTAAATATTTTTATTTTTCTGTTTACAATTCTTGCTTTAGTAAAAATTATATTACCACTTTAGTGTGTCAATTCATGACAGATCTATTTTAAAATTTCCTCTATAATTATATATTAGTCATTTGATTTAAAAATTCTGTCAGCTTTCACATGACATATTCCCTCACTGAATAGTCCTCCCTTTAATCTTATTAATTTAAAAAATTATTTTTAGTTTTTAAAGTAAAGGTTAATTTTGTTTATAACCTGTAGCTAATTAAATTTACTCATATAAAAAGTGCATTTCTGTGCTTATTGGTGTAAGTCTTACCTCTGAGTGATATGTTCTTGTGGTTGAAGTGGGTACTAAACTTAATGCAAGTCTATGGATAATAAACTCAATGTTTATATAACTGAAATTATCTACTCAAGAATGCTACAGAGTTATGTTTATCATTCTGGTCACTTTTTCTCCTTTCTAAATCTTTACTCGGCATCCTAGGTTTTTGTTTCTCTCATTTTCTAGAATATGCTCTTACAAATAAATATCTGTCAATGACATCAGTTATGTAACCCAAAAGAATGTTGTCGTCTTTGTTCTTGGACCTGTAATCAGTGTTTGACACTGTTTGTCACTTCTTACTCTTTCAAATGAATTCTACATTTCACCTTCATAATACTAATGGTTTCCCTAATATTTCTAGCAGACACTTTCTCTTTTTCCATGCTGGATTTAAAGAAGCCGTTGGTTTTAAAACAACCTGTGAAGAGTTGCTACGTGACAAGGAACTGCAGCCTTTAGAAAGATCTTGAGGGATCTACAGTGTCCTGTAGACAATAGCCAACAAGGAACTGGGGACTTGAGTCTTAGCGCTATAGGAAAATTGATTTTGCCTTCAACACAAGTGAGCTTCAGAGCAGATCCATTATTAGGTATATCTCTGTATGAAAACCAATCCCTTGTCAACACCTTGATTATAGCTTTGCACAGTATTCAGCTAAGACAATAGGACTTGTGATCTGTACAAGTTTGAGATGACAAATTCTTCTTGTTTTAAACTGCTAAGACTGGGGAAAATTTGTTATGTACAATGATAATGAATAAAATACTTAGAGGTCATGTACTCTTTTTTTGTGTATAGTCTTGGGGGCTGTCTGGCTTCTTTTGGTCAATACAACATCGGTAATTTCAAGTATATTGCTATGAGAGGCAGTTAACTTTTAAAACTCATTACTCTGCAGTATTTTATTAGGTAGCTATGCTACAATTTCTTTATCCAGTCTATTGTTAATAGACACTTTTTTTCCTCAATTTTGTCATGCTATGTGCAACCATAAGGTTCAAAATATACAATAGTCACTGTGAAATGGGAGGAAACTGTTCAATAAAAAGAAGAAACTAAGATAGGGGAAAAGAGAAAGGATAGAAGGGAAAAGAAAAAAATGCAAGTTAGTTATACCATTAGTGTCACTTAGTTCACTGAATAGGAAAGGTTGTGCTAATATTGATTGAAGAAATTTTTATGCCCATATTTTGTACTTGAGTGACTAAAGATAATGATGTGTAATTTATCAACAATTGTTACTTTTTTATTATTTTGTTGTGAAAATTTGTTTTACCTTTTCTTCTTAATATTAACAAATAAAGAAAAAAATCTGGGATAATCATTTTTTACATGTTATGGTCGACACACTGTGTCAACTTGAGAAGTTTAGAAGTTTAAGAGACTCAGCAGGGATCCAAGATCCTTACTTTGTAAATATCCTCATCCTGTGCAAGAGAAGCCAAGGAGATTTTGTGAGTGCTCCCTTCGCTCTGGAGCGGGGATTGCCTGTGTACAATATAAGGGAGGAAAAGAGGCTTGCTTTTTCCCTATTGTACTCTTGTTTTGCTATCTTCTGACACCTCTAGTGTTACCCCTGTGCCATGCTACCCCACTTTGGAGCCAGCTGACTATAAACTGAAACTGTCACAAACTGTGAGCTAAATAAATCTTTCCTTGCTTAATTTAGAGTGTCTGGTATTTTGCCTCAGTAATGAGACAAGTAAGCAAGATAATATATTTTAAGGTAGAAATGAGTATTTGGATTGATATAGAGCCATAAATTATGTTGCTGAACCATAATTTATACATGTATTTGGTTTTAATAGTATCAAACTTTTTTCTTTTTTTTTTAATATTTTATTTAAAAGGAAAAAGAGAAAAAAAAGCAGAACAAAACAAAACAGTGTAAGGGTACAAGTAATTCAGAACTACAGAAAAGCAAAAAAACAAAAAACAGCATGCTATCACCTTAGAAACGGTGTTTCAGGTCACAGGATCAAAGCACACAAAGCGAACATTCAAACAGTGAGACTTCAAGCAGTTGTGTTCAGTAATCCAATCCAAACTATTAATATGGTCTTCTATGCAACACACCTAAACACCCTTGCTGTTGTATCCTTCAGGGCATAAACTCTTTTTCAAAGTGATTATAATGTTATAAAATCTCATCCTAATAAATAAGAATGCTGATTCTTTTAAATTCCTTGATATTGACAGTGTTTATAATGTTAAATATTCCTTTTGGTATGTAGCAATATCCTACAGAGGTTTTAATGATCATTCTCATGATAAATAATGATATTAAGGCTTATTGAAATACACAAACTTATAAATATGTCATTTAATATCATTTTTGGTAAAGTATTAATATTTTTGCCTTATTTTATTTATTTATTTATTTATAGAGTTTTAAATATATTTTCTCTATATATATTGCAAAAATTTTCATTTTTACCACTATGGAAATAAAAGCAGTGAGTTTTTAGAAAGAAAGAAGGAAAAAATTAAAGACTTTGAAATAGGCATACATCTGGTAAATAAGACATAGAAAGTGCTAAAATTGAAGAAAATATTGATAACTTGAGTTTATAAAGTCTCTTGACTATACTTAATAATTCCTATATTTTAAATAAGCTCTTTTTATTGTTTTATATGTATTCATGCTCTTTCACAGAGATTTATTTCCTCAGATAGTTTGTAGTTTAAAAAAATTATTAGTATCCATAGACTCTATTGTCTGTTGGAATTCAGCACTTTGGGGTTTGTGGGAAAATCTTTTAATTTCTTGTGCTACTTTGCAGCTTCACTAGTTATAGAAGAATTTTATATTTAGTCCCAATTTGTGATCTGTATTACAATGTATGTTGGAGACTTACACCTATATTTTGTGCAGGCTTGAATATTTAATATCTTTTGATTGATCACATTCATAACCTCAGGAGAAGAATATGACTCAGTTTTTTACCTAGGCTGATGGGTGGTATTTTTCAGTCTTCACTTCATGGATAAGAAAGTGCTTGATAAATTCCAAGTTTGACGACCCAATTCCAGTTTTTATGCTGGGATGGCTGTGCATGTACCGTTTCAGTGTGAGTACGGTGCAGGAAATTTCACAACAGTTCAGTCTCCAATTAATCCCAAATCCCTGATGTATTAGTTCTGTGTTCCTAAAGCAGAGCATATAGGGTTGTGCCTAATAATGTCTCTGAGATGCATATTTTCTTAAGTTTCAGACAACACTATGAAGTTAGGGTCTTAGTCACCTCTGTATCCATATCTCAGGTGTAGTAGCTTGCCCATAGTTTAGCATTTGCATGGATAAATTAATATTAAATTTTATCCCTATTTAGAGTGAAATGTGAAGAAGATGTACTTGGAATCCATTTTCTTGAAGGCAGTCTTTAAGATGATTCCATTCTCATTAATGTAAGTTATGACCATTTGACAAGAGCCTATGAGAAAGAGACTATGATAACACTTTTGTCAATACCCAGGACGTGTCAATAGTGGAAAATCTCTTCTGTGTAGCCTGTCCTGGGAACAACTAAGCAGACAATACCCATTATCCACGTGTCATTTTCTAGTTGAGGACATAAAAACAGACCAAGGCAAAACCCATTGCGTCTCTAAATTAGTAGCACAGATCGATGCCCATATTTCTTAGTGTCATGTTTCATTATGTTGAATGGTTTATGTCATCGTAACCCAAGGCATCTTAATGCAACCTGACATCCAGGTTATGTTGCATTAAAAGAAATAAGAAGCTACTGCATTTCGTTAATGGGTTGGAAAGTATGCTAGGACTTGTTTTCTGCTCAGTAAAGGATTATCACATGTTGTGTGTGCAGGGAAAAGTAGGGACATAGATGTGTTATAAAGATTGAATGGTCAGAGACCTTCAGTTGAAGTTTGTTAGATATATATTCTTGGCTTGTGCTCTCACCCCTATATTTTGTTTTTTGTAGAGGTGCCACTATTTGTTTTGTGGCAGTAAAATTAGTCTTCATAATAGAATTCAGAGATGACCATTTATATTGGAACTATTTCGCCCACCAAGTCTGCTAGTGAAAATATCAGTCATCTTTTATTTTACTTAAATACTATGCTTTCAAATAGCTTTTCCATGTTACCATACAGGTGTCTTGTATCTTTCTGAACTATCATAATAAATCCATGTCTACTTTTAGGGAATATATTTATATTCTAAAATATCATAGATTGTGTTTATGTGTGTGTGTGTGTGTGTGTGTGTGTGTGCATACATGTGCTGGAGAATAGAACTAGGGCCTCATGTTCTACCACTGAGCTACTTTCATCCCTAATCATTACACATATCCTAGCTTTCTTAAAATCTTAAACTTCCATGGTACACAGACTAGTTTAATTGCTGTAGCTTACTAATTTTATAATCTTATGTGTCCATAAAAGTAGTTAAGAGAGTGTTTTAGAAATCTGATACCGTGTTATACTACTGATCTAATATAGTGTGTCTAAGGTAAGAACAAGTAATCCATCTGCATCTGTAACAAAAGGCTGCAAGAAAATAAATACAAGCAGTACCATACATGGCACATCATAGCTGAGCTTCTAAAATCAAAGATAAGAGATAAAGGGTTGTAAGTAAAATCTGCTAGGGGGAAAAAAAAAGAACAACACATTGCAGCAATAGAGAAGCAGTGTGGAAAATACTTGATTTCTCATGAGAAACAATGAGGGCCAGAAGACAAAGGAATGATTATGGTCAAAATTTAGAAGGAAAAACGCCAAAACACCAAATAACCAAGAATCTGCATGCACTGAAAATATCCTTAAGAGTAAGGAGGAGATAAAGGCAAGTGAATACAAATGAAACAGAATTTCTTGCTGGCAAACACGCAATATAAGAAATACTAAGGGAAATCTGTCATACTGAAGGATAATGATGTCAGATGAAAAAAAGGTGGTTAAAAAGGGATGAAAAGTAAGAAATGTGGTAAATTTGACTTAATATGAAACCAACTTTTTAGTTTTTATTTTCTAAATTTGTTTAAATGACACGTAATTCAAAGCAAAAACCACATTGTAAAGTGGAATTAAAACATACATATGCTGAGATGAAAATATAATAATAGATTTACAAATTTGGCAGTATGAAGTGTGAACTGCTGAAGTATTATTTCTAAGGATGATCTGATATATCAAGGATACATATTGTAATTCTTAGAGCAATAAGGAAAAGTAATAAAAAGAAATATACTTAAAAACTCATAAGGAAAATTGTGTGTTAAAAACAGTTAACAAGAAATCCTATATTGTATCTCATAAATTTCAAGAAACAAAAATCTTATAAAGTATATTTTTCTGACCACCATAGGATGAAATTAGAAATCATTATAAGAAGTTATGTAGATGACTATTCAAAAATTTAGAAATTAAAATATATTTTTATGTATCTCATGGGTAAAGAAGAAACTGTAAGGGGAAGTATTTTGAATGAATTATAATTACTACTGAAAATCTTTGTACTTTGTGGATACTAACTATAAAAAAAAACTGGCCTTAAATGGTTGAAACTAAATAAAAAGCTTGACAGTATCAAGTGAGAATGTTGAGCAACTGAAACCTTCATGCACTGTTAATGGAGCACTGAGACAGTACAACCACTTAGTAGCAAGAAAAAAAGCTGTTTTTTTTAAAAAAATAAAATGACACAGAATTGTTTATAATGATTTCATTCACAACAATAAAAACCTTTAAACCACCCAAAGATATATTAAGAACACAGATAAACATTATATGTTTAATGAAATATTACTCAGCAATTAAAATGAACAAACTGCTGATGCCTAGAAAAAAGTGAGCCTCACATGCATTATGTTGTGAAGAAGTTAGTAGCAAAAAGTTCATGTTTGGTGCCTATCTTAGCCACCTTTACATCACTAGGACAAATATCTTACCTCCACAATTTAAAGGAAGAGACATTTATTTGGGTTGCTGTTTTAGCCCATGATTGGCTGGCCCCAAGGAAGAAATGGCATAATGAAAGGACATGGCAGAGAAAAGCTGTGCAAACCATGGCAACCAAGAAGCAGAGACAATGAAAAGGAAGGAATCAAAGGACAAGAAAGCACCCTTCCAGGTCAGTTATTCAACTCCAACCAAGCCCCAACTCCTAAGAGCAATTTTCTTATAGTGTCCCTGTGGCCCAACCGTTTTCCACATATATGAGACATTTGAGGGAAATTTTAGATTTAAATCAAAACATTCCAATTATATGAATTCCTATGAAAGACAAAACCAACCTATGGTAACTGGAAAATACTTTATTGTTTACCTGAAACAGGGGAACTATTGACTGGAAAGGGACACACAAAATTTCTGGTGTGATAGAAATATGTATCTTGGTTGAGATAAAGTTTAAATAAGTGTATGTGTTGTCAAAGTTTATTATACTAAATACTTAAAAGTTATGCATCTTATTGTATGAAATCTATACTACAGCAAAGTTTGTGATGTGAACATTCCGGCGTTCATTTGTGAGTATTCTGATTTGATAAGTCTGTGGTGAGAATCACTTACCTGAATTTCTTGATTGAGCCTAATGCATCTTGTTCACTAATCATATGTCTGAAAGTACTAACCTGATGTAATATTGTATGCCCAGAAATACTTATTATGTTTTTTTAAAAAACAAATGAATTAA